TGTGTGTGTTTCATGGCCCCTGAGGAGGGAGAGAGAAAGAGACACAGACAGAGAGAGAGAGAGAGAGAGAGAGGGGCTGAGTTGCAGTCAGCTCAAGTGACACTTGTAGTCTCTCTCTCTATGTCTTTCTTTCTGTCTCTCTATCGCTCGCTGTGTTTGACCCAGGCCAGATGAGTGTTTGGAGGAGGGATAGGGAGCGTTGTTGTTGCTTTTTGACCAGAGGGGAGCAAAGGAAAGCGGGATACTCTGTGATTCTGTGTCTGTGAAGTATGGTCCATGTGAAGGTATGTGTGCTCACTGCTTCCATTCCTCTCTTTCTCTTTTCCTCTCTTTTTATTCTTTTTTTTCTCACCCCAGCATTTCTCAGAATACATTTCACCATGGTGCCTCTGCCTCTTCCTCTGCAGTAACAGGTGTCCGCCTGTCAGCCCTGAATTGGAGGGAGCAGAGATCGGAGGGACAGGGGTTGGGGGTGGGGGGGTGACAGAAAGGAGGGAGCGATTGCTTTTGTTTGGATGTTTCCAAGAAGCCTTACAACCAAATTCTCACGGCTCGCCATCCAGCTAGTTAGTCATCTCGCTCAGCCGCTCTGCCTCTGTGCTCTCAGCTGTGGGAGCGCCAAACAAGCAAACAAACAAAGAAAAGCACAAGTGTTTCATCTTGTCCTTCATCTGCTCTGGTGATGTTACCTCAAAGTAGGTTGTTTTTTTCCTCTCTTTCCATCAGCTGATGAGGGTGTTTGGAATGATTTGACTGCTAAAAGTCTGATCACACGGGGGAAAAGCATGTCGCTTTCTTGCGTGCAGTGCTGCTCGAGATGGAACTAGAGATGCCGTGTTTACTCTGTGTGATGGAATTTCGTGCAGCTTTCTAGTTTCTAGTAGCTTTGTAGCAAGGGGCCAGTTGGTGTTTGTATCAAGGGATTACAGCTTTTATCTTCAAATTAGCCTGAGTGATGAGATCGTAGGCATTTTCTTGTAGTTTCCTGAGTTTCTTGTAGGCGCTTGGCTCCATGCGAAAACTTCAGACACTTATTAAGACATATATACAAATAGTCTGCTTGGAACAATAATGCTTGGCTGATGTTTTTCTGCAAAAAAAGAAAAATAATAATTTCCACATTAATATCCTTAAAAAGTAATCTCCTCCTTCTACCTCATTAAAACTTCCAGAATCTCTGAATATGCATGTGGTTTATTTCTAAAGTTTTCCTGCTGGACACAAGATGTCTCCAACTTCTCTGTAAAGTCCATTCTCAGTGGATGTGCACTGGTGGTTTCAAGTTTCTACATCACACTGTACAAGTTGATACTGGACCAGGACTGACTTCCAAAGTATTTGTGATGTCACAGATCCTGCTGGTAGGCCCGTCCCTTAAAATCAGATTTTCAATGAGCACAGAGAAACTTTCCACTTTCAGCAGATGGATGTGACATTATCTCTCTCTAGTGTCAAACTCTGCACAGACATCATTCAAACAGCACACTGTAGGGACACTGTTTTTTGAATGGAGGGGGACGTTATCAGTGTGGGGATTGAGCTAAAGCCACAAGTGCTAAAAAGGCGTTGGCAGTCCTACTACATGGATTTTATTTGTGTCCATTTCAAAAAATGATTTATCATCAGCTCAGTGAATACAGCGACTCAGCACAGCTGAAGTAGCCAGGTGATTTTTTTTTTTATTACTGTTTCTGTTGAGCAGCTATATTCTCCTCCGCAGTGCAGGGTAAACACATCTATGTATCATCATGTTGAAGTTGTGTAAACAGGGAAGAGTCTGTGTGTCGCTCTCGCGGCACTCACACTTGAGAGGCTTCACAGCAGTGTGTGTGTGTGTGTGTGTGTGTGTGTGTGTAAGCATTACAGCCTGTTAACAGACTGTTCTGCACTCACCACAGACGTTGCATGTAGTGTCTTACAGCAGAACACATATGTCGTTTGGTAGTTGCACAACGCATTTAACTGTGTCATGAACTTAATGGCAAACTTTATATAACCCTGGCACTGTTAGTGGGTCTATATATAGACTCAGTGTCACAGCAGCAGGTCTTTATGTGAGGAAGTTGTGTGTTCTCATGAGTCCATAAACTGCTGTGTGCACAATCTGCAGAATCTGTGCTTTTTTGTATGTGTGCTTCTGTGCAAGTATGTATTTGTGTCAATACATGTGTACATGTGTCCATATGTATGTGTGTGGGTGTGTGCGTGTGTGTGTGTGTCCACTTACCATTAAATGGACACACTTAAACATTAATTAAACAAGAAGATGGTGCATAATTACAGTGCAATTTGCAATTTGATTTGTTAATTTTTGTACATTAATGATTCATTATAATCAAATTGTATCATTATGGTGGAAAGCCTGCAGTTGCCTCAGGCATCATCAGCGTTTAAGCTCCCACGGACCAGCGCTCTGCTCTCCGTCAGCTGAAAACACACATTGTGTAATTACTATAAATTAAATTAATGTTCTTTCTTGCTGGGAAACATATTTTTTTTGTGATTGTTATGGCCATTTCAAATGTTAAAACTATTAGAAAGTTAAATGGCCTCTCTGACCGTGTCTGTGCAAACAGAGCAGTTTGACTTTTATTCTCTTTTCATGACATGCGATTGCTTTCTGAACGTGTGGAGCTTAATTTGGCTGGAAACTCCACAAGTGTTAGATATATAACAGGCCATTTGTCATGCACATTTACTGTTTGAGCGTGACACGGTTCAATGTGTTGTGAAGCGTCGTATTTCCCTTATAAGAATGACAGATGACTAATTTTAGTGAAAACTTCTGCAGTCAAACTAAATGAAATATATGAAGGTCCATTCAGCTACAGATCCAAAATGTAAAGCTTTTAGATGAGCTCAGATCTCGCTCAGAATAGCTCCTCTGTATTCAAATGCTGCCCAGGGAACACTGATTGATTGATTATATCACCAATTCTGACATGATTTATTATAATTCCATCACTTTTATTATCTGGAAACCCACCAGAAAACTGCCAGAAACCAATTTCAGATCTAAATCATAATTTAAGGACCAGTGCTCCAGTGTGTAGGCACTGTATGCTCTTCACTTGATTTCAAACAATCCAGTTGGATTCATTTGTTTGTGTTTTTTTTTTTTTTTTTTGCACAAATTGGTAAAATCAGTTATGTTTAATCAGCTATAATGATCGCAGCAGCAGACACACATACTATAATCAGCTGTTGGTTTGTTTGTGTATCAGTTAATTAGCGGTTATTCATCACACTTTGAACAGCATAAATTAAGCTTAAAAACAATGGGCCTCATGGAAGAACCGCTCACAGGAACAGGTTGGTTCTTACAAGTGATTCAACCATTCACCAGTTTCTTTTATTTAAAATTATGATTGTTGAGTTTTAATGCCTTAATATGAAAAACTAAATGAAAATTAAACTTCATTTTAAAAATACAATTTTGTTCACTTTGTTAGTGTGTATGTGCATTATAGATTGTCGGTTCTGCTATATTTTTTCCTTTTTTGGCATGACTACTTTTACCATTTAGTAGATGTTGGGAAAATAGTCCCTCCAACCCCTGCCTCAGGGTCCTTTTGCAGGTCAGGGTGTGCACCCACTATACCATAAGTAACAGTGCTACATTTGTCTTTTTGTCTGCATAAAATTCTTCTTTCTACTCTTGGTTGGTATTTTTGTGAAATGGAGCAGAACAGACAGCTTTACAGCATACAGCAGTTCAGAGTCGTCAGTATGCTAATTACCCAAATCTTTCAAACACTCACCTCCTCATTATCAGATGGCATTTATCAAGTTCAAACGGGAAATGTACCACAGATTTGTGTAGTTTAGAGGGTTTCAGAGTTTGAACAGTTGCACTGATGAGCTTCACAGAGAAAGGTAAGAGAGAGTTAAGGTAAGAAGATGAAAGATTTCTCTCGAAAGTCTGTTTCCATTCGCATGCTTCATTTTCAGTTTAAAAACCTGAGTGAGAACCATGATAAATCATGATGTAGATGAAGCATGTGACTTAACGGCCACTGAAGAGACGAAAACATCAGATCTGTATGCAGTGGTTGAATGGGACCTCACTGGAGAATTGGCGCCACCAGCTGTTTAATCTCCATGAATTAACTCCTTATATTCGCATAACAGTAGTGGATGGTAATGTGCACTAATTCGGCCCAAGAGTGGAGCACTTTTGTTTTGTAAATGTGCTCCTCCAGGAATCTAGGCCCTGTTAACAGAAACACTAATACGTGTTGATTTAGACTAACCTCCAACATTCAAGGTTTATTCTCCCGACCACAGATTACCAAATTGTGTATATTCAACAATTCTCAATGAGCTCAACTTAAATGGAACTACATCTACATTACATTTAAACATGTAGTGCATATATATGGATCAGATTAAGGCTGTACATTTTACAGTGAAGAGGGTATTAACGTCCAACAGTGTTTCTTCAGTGGGGGGCTACTGTGCAGCTACAGGCTGGGTCTTCAGCTGGGGTGATGGGACTGACAACCTCCTCTATCCCTCCCTTCATATGAGCCACCACCATCCTGCCAACAGCAGGACACAAATCCATACAGTTGGAGTGTATAGATGACTTGTCAGGCAAGCATTAGACCAAAGCTTTCATGTGAACCTGACACTTTATGTCAGACAATAACAGAATTCGTCTACCAAAACCCCCCCAAAACCTCATCTGTTTCATGAGTTTCCCAGTAGCAGAATAACAAATGTCACATTTGTGAAAGCTTTAGTTTGGTGTCACAGTTTTGCGACATATCAAACTCTTCTCAGCGACTATCTGGCAGTGTGAAACTGGCAGACACAGTGATATCTGGCTTGTTTTCCCACCACAGACTGCAGAGTCCATTTCACAACAATTAAAAATGTGACAAAGACAACGGAGCCAGAATAATGTTCAGGATGCCTGTAAATGTGTCAGTAAATAAATAGACAGAATGTTTTGACACATTGTCTCTCTATCTTCCTTTCTCTCTCTATCTCTCCAGGAGTTGCAGTTTGAACGTCTGACCAGGGAGCTGGAAGCCGAACGACAGATTGTTGCCAGTCAGCTGGAGAGATGCAAGCTTGGCTCTGAGACTGGAAGCATGACTAGCATCAGGTGTGTGTGTCTGTGTGTGCCTGTGTGTGTGTTTGTCTCACACCCGTCAGATCCTCTTCTTTACACTCTACCTGTGTGTGTCAGCTGTGCTCATGCAGGTGACTGGCTTTACAGCTGGTCACATTAGAGGCACACTCCTTGATCGGTGTCCAAAATTCTAAATTCTCTTTGCTTCCAAAACACTGTTGTTTTGCTCTGGAAAGTCAGAGAGAGAGAGAGAGCCATCTTCCTGCATTCCACTGGTGTACCAGATTGTGTTCATTCTCTGGTACCCACACACTGCTTGGTAGAGCTGTTACATGTCTTTATATTGAGAACTATTTATGGAACACATTTTTTTTGCTATATATACAAGTAGCGATATTGACACGTTTAACTCTGACGTTAGGATTTATTTGAAATCGTGTTTCTGTTTAATATTCAATCGTCTTTTAGCTCTGTTTTGGTCTCCACCAATTCTTGAAGAAAACATAAAATGTATTTTTAGCCTGTAATTAGTCTACTGTGTTCACCAGCTACTCGCTAACTGTGTCTGTCTGCTATATGGTGCTGGGCAGGTGGTGTAGCGTAGGTTTATCAGAGGTTTTTCAATGAAAACAGCTGACCGTTATATCTGGAAACAGTGTTGATAAGAGCAATGAACCAAAACAGTAAAAGTGGGGGCTGTAAAACCAAAAAAAAGAGCTGAAAGACGCTAAAACGCTATGTTTAACTGAGGAGAACTGCTGACTTGTACTACCGTTCATATTACCTGTAGTCATTTGATCCATTGGTTTTATAAAAACATTGACTAGTGCAGCTTTAAAAATACTATAAACCAAGCTAGCCTATCACTAACTATGCAAGCTAGTTAACTTGTCCATACAACATCATACAGTAGATGGTATATTAAGTGAATGCAAAAAGAAGTCATGCTATTTATAATTTAGTGTATTTTGACCACTTCTTAGCTTCATACCCACTAGAATTTAATTCACCCAATGGGAATATTTTTGCTTCGTGAGCAGCTTACACTCTTAAGAAATGTTCAGTCTACTTTTTCAAGTAGAGAAGAGAGTTGAAAGTTTTTATACAACTACACTCCAGTAATTATGTTCACTTTAGCTGACCTCATTTCAATAACACATATAAGCTGTTACCATGACTATTACTATCCCTCTTCTTGCTCGTCAAAATAAACATGCAGAATAACAACTTGGAGGACATGAAGCAATTAGATTGTAATCATTTTATTAAACATGTTACTCAGTCCAGAGTCTTTTTTTGGAAAAAAATACAATAAAAGCTCAAGGATGGTAATTTAAGATGTCTTATGTGCACAGCGAGCCTTGTGAAAGGATATTGATCTGTCAAAAACTCACCGGCAGACTATGATATATTGATAGGATCAAGTTGCCATCCCAAAGCCTCTAACTGCACATTAACTACATGTAGCAGCACCTTTAAGATCAGAGGTGCATGAGGCATGGAATCGCTTTGAATTTGACAGAAATCTCATGTCAGATTCCAGTAGAATTAATCTGGATTTGATGTGATGTCTGACTAATGACTAAATCATTTCTCATATGAATAATGAAGATTTTATGCTAACAGAAAAGTTGTGATTGAAAATCTACATTTGACATGACCTTCTGTCATGCTAACATGCTAACATAATCTCTTGAAATCTCATCCATTGTGTGACAACATATGTGGCAAAATGGCATTCTGTTGCAGCAAAATTGTGCCAGATCCGTCAGTATAACCCTCCAGTTTGATCAAAGCAGCTGCTTTTCGTAGTTTAAATGAATTTTGGTCTAATGGCGCAAATCAAATCCTCAGCTTTGCAAACATGACATGCTATTTATTGTCTATTAAGAACAGCAATTACTTCTCACAAAGAATCAAACAATGTGCAGCTGTCACAGGCGTCCGTTGGTCTGTTCGGAGCCTTCTTTCTTGTGGTGAGAGGGAGTAAACTGCACACAATGTGGGGAGACTGTCATATTATCTGCTGCTGATTGAGTTTGGACCTGAGCCTCATCTCTGCTCTGAGCTCAAAGAACACATTCTACACCTTCCATACCAGTCCCAATGTGAAAACAGCACTCCTGACACAATAGTGGTAATGCACTTAGCCTGCCTCTCAGGACAATGTAACACGATTAAAGCCACTGTCTCACTCTCTCTCTTTCTCTGTCATACACACACATAAATAAACGCAGACAATCCATCATCTTTTCTCCTCTTTGATTCCGTTAAGCGAGCGGGGATTCCATCCGTCTCCAACTAATTACTCATCTGCCGGCATTGTAATTCTCATTTCAATTTGAGGGGTGGACCAACAAAGAGCGGAGAGATGGTCTAAACCCGATTCATTCACGAGTCTAATTAACCGGTGCACGCATTTAGCTCCTCAACGCTGTCACAGGGCTGTATGGAGGGCTCCTATTTAAAACAGCAGCGACGCGGGAGATGGAAGAGGTGTGGAGTCCAAAAAAACACGTCTTCCACTTCATCACCAAGCTGCGCACAGATGGAATAAAGGCTGCCATCTTGTTAACTCCATTAGATGGGTTTATTATTTAGTGAGGAGCAGAGCGTCTTGTGGATTACACTGTCTTCCACTGCTTTTTACAGGCCATCCACTTTGTTTGACTTGGAGGTAATTACTAAATGGACAAATGGTTTGGCAAAACATACAAGTCCACTAAGGCAGTATGCTGGCGGTTTGTAGTGCCTAAAGCGTGCAGGATTTATTGTTCAATTACCTCTGAAACATAAGTATTGCTGCTGTTCTGAATAGTTTTATTCATCACTGCTTGTCCCGGTGAACAGAAGGGGCAACATTTAATCGGTGGCTGCAATACATGTACAGAATTTATCTTGGTAGCGTTTGTGGCGAGCAGTTAAACTAGGAGCTTGAATATATTTTCAACAACTTGGTGGAAGTAAAACTAAATTCAAGTTGTTGCAGTGTTATGAGTTTATTCCTTTTGTCATTTTAATGTGTAATATATTTGTTTAGCTAGGTTAGCATAAGTATTTTAGCATGGCCTAGACATGTTGGCTGGTACAGCGTTTTGTTTTCCTCTTCAGCATGTTAAATTTTTGTTAGTTAGTCTGGCTCACCGTGTTCTAAACCCAGGCTGTCCAGTTTAAGTGTGAGACAGTGCAGGAACCAGGTCCTTTTAACCACTAGCAAGAGCTAATAAGTGTCATTTAGCATCACTGCGGCTAGCTACCATTTCTCAATTGAATTTAATGCGTCTGTGTCTTGTTAGCTAGATAGCACTGACAGTTGTCAAGCAGAAAGAGTATCCAAAAAAGTATAAATTATTCTTTTCCAGCAAGTTTCTTTATTTCAAAATGCTGAAAATGTCCAAATACTGTTAGCTGTCAGGAGATTGTACCAGTGTGTTTTCTGCCCAGTGGCTATGAATACATCCTCTATTGTTTATAAATGGCAAAGCTGTATAGTCCAATTACTCTTGCTTTCCCGGAGCACAGTATATTAACTAAACATGAAGGCTTCTACCTGACCTTGGAAACAATGGAAACAATGTCCACTTACGAGCTTTTTTTAGCCTGCATCCATTTTTTCTTCTTAGCTCATAGTTATCAAAATGGTCAGGAATGATGAACTCGATCACCTCTCTCACCCGAGGTCCCTTAAACACAGCATTAAATGCATCATTAGGAGGATAATACTGTCTTGAGACAGTTCAGATTTGCATCTCTAATAATATGTAATCTCTGAAACTGCTCTAAGCAGGAAGCACACAGTGTTTCTTTGGAAACTCCTTCACATTCAGCCTTATTGGCTTTCCCAAAGGAGCAGCTCTAGTTTCTACTCCCAGACAACCCACAGATTCATAGACTGAGGCACAGTAGATATAATATAACCAGTGTTGTTATGACCAGGGACAAAACAATGGCTGTGCAAGGGTTTCAGACACCTGGGCTGGTCCCTGCGTTAGATAGAAAGTAGGAGAACAAAGAGGACGGGACTGAACAGTGTCCAGCGTGGCCTTTCATGGGCTTGTCCTGTATTAACTACAGAAATCAGATGAGGAGAGAAAATAAAAACTGTGCCCTTGTAATCACTGAAAATATTTTTTTTGTGAAGGGAATTCCCAAAACCAATTAATGTGAATTATGCACCAAGTTTTCCAGCAGCATTTAGTTGGAAAGCCATTTCAGTTGACTTTCCTTGTCTTTGATATTTGAATTTAAATACTCCAATAAAAAGCAAGCAATGAAGTTGCTGCAAATAATGGAAAGCTCTCCCCAGTCAGACAGGTTAAACCACAAAAAAGTGAAATTATGAATCAGTAAGTGCAGCGGGTGCCGGCAGCTCCGGAATCTGCTCCTGTTGTGTTGTGGAAGATAAAGACTTTTCAGAGGTGCTAATGAGCTCTTCAGCTCTGCCTTTGTTTCCAGTTTTAATCAGTCACCACAGGTCACAGTGTCTGCCACGACATATGCTGCTGCTTTATCACTTCAGAAAGCACAAATCCACTGTGTGACTGTGTGTGCGTTGCTCTATCAGTCACACTGAGACAATGTTTTTGTCTGCGGAAAGAAAAGCGTGACATATGTTGCCTCATCAGTTAAAGGACCATTCCTCCCCAAATGTCAAGGTTGCAAGTGATATTTTGGTGGTTCTTCCGGGTTTACATGACATAACAGGTAGAATTGAACGGAGCAAAATGGAAAATAACCATGATTATGGTTACATTGTATGACAGTATTCACCACTGAGGTACTATTCTTTTCTATTTATAATAATAATAATAATAATAATAATAATAATAATAATAATAATAATAATAATAAAGTAATCAGATGTTATCTATAGAGTGCTTTTTATGGTACTCAAAGACACAGAGTTAAATCATTTGTCACATAACCTCAATTCCCAGCCCATTATCTCACTCAAGGCTCTGTGGTAGCTTCAGCAGTTAAAGGTCCCCTCTAGACATATATTAAGACATACAAATGGTCTGCTTAGAACAGTA